TCCATTAATGTGTTTCTTTGCAGTCCAAACTTCCAACTTATTCAAGCAATAAAATGGTCTTATTAAACCATCTATATCAACACCAAATGTCAGTCCTAATATTTTTATTTTTGGCTTATGACTTTTTTTTTTCACAATGCTTCTACAGGGTCAAAAAAAGTTTTCAAATAGCCAAAAACACTTTCAACTATTTATGGCTAATGTGCTTCTAAAAGAAGCACTTACAAGTTTTTTCTTTTTTTCAAGTACTTCCAACTATATTTTGTCAAGAAGCACTTTTTTTAAACACAAAACAATAGTCTAAATTATAAAGGGAGGGAGGTTTCTAATAACACACTATCAAGGTGTTATAGGGGTTCGAACTTGAGACCATTAGTCTGCAAGTTAATACCCTTTTCCACTAGACTATAGAAACACTTTTATGTGCTTTTCCAAGGTGCACTTGAACTTTCAATTAAAATATATATAGAAAATGATTTTGTGCTTCTAACAAAAGTGCTTCTTTAAAAACGCTTTAAATAAAGACTCCAACAAAAACTAGTCTTAAAACTTAGAATCCATCCAAAAATTGAGAGTTAAAACTTAGGGTGCATTGGATGGAGATTCCAAATATAAGAATTGGGATGACATTATAAAGTTAAAATTATAAGATTAGACTACTACAATCCATGTATTTCAAGATTTACTAAATGTAGTACATTCAGAATATGGAAATGACTATATGCAATGAGTCATTTGAAATCCATATGTTTTCTTATTATTATTTTCTCTCTCATTCATATCTTGGCATACAAAGATTATAGTATCATCCAAATCCCTAAATTTGGAATCACTCTATCCAAATGGACCCTTACATTTACTTCCTAATGAAAACCATACATTTACTACCTATATAGTATATGCTTTAATTTAATTTAATTTTTTAATTTTTGGTGTAAGGATGGTTTGATGTTCAAGTACAAGGAAAGATGTCTAGAGAAATTGAAAAGCGGGAGACAAAGTGGAGACACAACATATGAATCCTAAGTGGATCCCAACACACACATATTGCAAGTGGGATTCTGTTTTCCTACGACACATTCAAACCCATATCCATATTGAAAAGGTGTTTCTTCTGTGTTTTTAACTTGACCATGAAGAGAAAGTGAAAAAGCCTATTTTTACTCCTCCAATTCAACCCCTCAATCAACAGTTTGATCATTAACTTTTGGAGGAATTGCGCTGCTTCAATTTTAGTTGTTATATATTTCTTCTTTGGAAAAGGAAAAAGTTGCGGCATGACTTTTGGGAAAAGTTGAAGCCCATTGCTCCTTCAACACAATTTGGAGTTGATAATGGAAGAGTGTTTGTGGGACTCCAAATGAACCTGCCCTATATATATATATATGTCACAAGTCACAATGTTTTTCGTGTGTGCACTAGTACAAGTAAAAAGGGGACCCTTCCAGCGGGGACTACATACTCGTTTTCTCCCCCACTGTATCTCCTCTTTATCTTTACCACTTTTCTTATTCTGACGTTTGTAGGCTACTTTTGAACAAATTTACCTTTAATTTGGGAGATGAGCATTATTCTTGCTCTTGCGCTTTTCCAGTCCACACAATGGAAGATATGAAAAACTGCTTTATGAAATCAGAATTATTATGGATATATATTATATATTGATCAAGGAACATGCATGAAGGTTTGGGAACTAGCCAGTGCTACTCATGCCAAAAAACACTGTTTATAAACAGCAACATACAAATGAACTGCTGTATCGAAAACTTAACAAAATAAATTACGCCTAGTGATTCCATTACTAATAGCACCGAGACCTTGGTATGTACAATTAGGGCATGTGTCCTAGCCTATATGTTGGCTGGCGCATTAGCGTTGCAATGACATTGACGTTGTTGAAGGCTTGCAGCCACGTAGGCCACGGAAGATGCAGCAAGCACACAGTGGACCAAAAGTTGGTGTGATTTTCAACTCTTGGACTTGGCGGGGGTTTTGTTTTTGGTGTGTGTGTATGTGTATGTGTGTGCTTGAAATAAGTCAACACACCAAATAGGTCAGAAGTAGGCTGAACTTGGACATAAGTCATAACCCTCACCCCTATATCAAAAACCAAAAAGCCACTTTTGTTGGAGTCTGGACGAATGAAAAGAGCGAGAGCGGCATAAACGAATTCAAAGCACCAGACGATTTTCAAAATCTGCAGGAATGTTTTTGTTAAGGTCAAACAAAAAAGGCTCTCCGCTTGGATTGATGAAGTAATTGGTGGCGGTAGGTGGGCATGCACTCTTACTTTCCACTCACTTTCCCTTTCCTTTTTCTTCTCTTCATCTCTTCATCTCTTCATCTCTTCGCTTGTGTAGAAAGAAAGAGTTGACGATAGCTACTAGCTAAGTCATTCAAACCAATAAATAAACATTTGTAAATGGTTTATCATCATGCTTTGGCATTAATTGATTCATATGGGTCAATGACCTTGTGAGACGGCTATCTATCCACGCATGGAGAGTTTTTCTGCCACCCCATGACATTTTCACATTATTCGCTTATGACGGCAACATATAAAATTCTTCTTCTTCTTTCTCTCGCCGACAAGCCAATCTCCTCAATCCAGAATCACAAAGTTCACTGTGTATATGTGTAATACATTTATGCACAAAGATCCTCTATTAAGAGATCTCTCAAACACTCTTATGTGTGAGACACATTGTGAAGTCTGGTACATATTGTACCATAATGATCAAACTCGTCTATTTTTTTAAGTCTTGATTTAAAGATATTGTCCTTGTGAAATAAATAGACAAATTAGAAACCATTAGAACATCTATTGAAGAAAACGCTAAAATAACAAACATTTCATTGAGTCGTTAAATGACTTTATAATTGAGTGAGTTTTCGAGAAACAACTTGAAAAAATAAATAATTCGAATCATTAAAATACAAAGCAAAATAGACCCAATAAGAATGTCCCTCAATCAAAACTCTTATTTATACGCATATGTATATACTAGTCGTTTTAATGAAGTGTTTGTGGACAGAGAAACTACACTTGATATTTAGACAGACCTTCACATTTCAATAACGACATTATAATTTTTTTACTGTTTGGGTTTCAAATTATAAATAAATTGGGGTGAAAAGGTTTGGAACTTATCATAGATTCCAAAGTTAAAATGCTATCCAAATACCTGAGTTCCAAAATCTCAATTCAACGGATTAAAGGCACAAACTCCACCGCCACCATTCCCACTGCTGTCACCATCACTGCCCACTACCTCCACCTAGTCATATTTGATGCATCACCAATGATTCTCCCTTACAAATTTGCATCCAACAAAAAAAAAAAAAAAATTTCCATATTTAAATCTCATCTTGCTAGAATCATATTTGATAGGTTAGCCATGCAAGAAGTATTGCGGATTCTAGAAAAATAAATCATATGTTTGATGTTTCAAATTCTTTCATCTCATCATTTTGAAATCCCATCATCCTATTCCTATCCCACTCTTTTACTACACCACTGGTGGACGTAAATTAAATAAATATACACCTCTATTAGTGAAACACAAGAGAAACGAAGCTTTTGACACCTAAATTTGCGGCATTTTCTTTGGCATAAAATTACAAGATAGCCATCTTGAATGAGTGCCCACTTCTAACGGACAGGGGGCGGAGTCAGTATAAGCACTATTTTGTTATTTCTGGCTAATAATTAATATTATGACACGCATAATAATTTTTCTACTTGACCTAGCGTTATAGTAAAATAATGCTATCCTCTTGTGGCCAAGTTTTCTCCCTCCCCCCACATATAGAATCCTAGCTCCACCCCTGCTATCAACTACAAGAATTTGGTTGGATGAGTCGAAAAAAGCACCCCCTGCAGTTGATTCCAGCAACCCCTTTGTTTTTGTACTCGTCTCATTTCATATTCTTTTTCTTTTCTTGTCTTTTCTATTTACTATTTATCTTTTTCCAAGGCCTTAGAAACCTTCTTAGAAATCTTAGAAAACTACCTACAATTTTAGTAACACTAATGTAATATTGTAAACATCATTAATGCCAAAGCTTCCAGCAGCATATCACATTGAGAAGAGTTGAGCAGCCCGTTTCCATGACGCCATGCTCACGTGGCAAAGACGCATAGGGAAGGATGGTGCAGTCTTACAATCAACATCACCTACGGATTCACCACAAGTGTGCACACCCTCCAGCCTCCAGGTGTCATACTCTTAGGACATGACCAATTGTCCCCCATCGATGGTAAGGAAAGAAGAGCAAGGCCTGAACCTAGCTAGTGGCCCCAACCTTCAGGCGCCATCAGTTGATACCCCCACCAGATCCAGACATCAACACAACTTAGACACCATTCAATTTCAAGTCACTGCTCATAGGAGATTCTAAGTCAATAATCCAAATTATTGAAAGGAAAAGCTGTATTCCTTGGAAAATGATATCATACGACATTTGCTTTCTCAACTATCAAGTTACACTCTACATCATATTCATATTCATATTTATTTATCGAAAAGTTAATATGGTACTAGATAACTAAGCACATTTTAGGACATAATTAGGATCACTCTCGCAATCGGTTTTGTAATTTTCCTTCTTCGGTTCTTTTTACATACATTTTTAGAAATAGGACCATAAAAGATCTTAAAAACCCAAAAGCATACTTGGCCATCTACCAGTTGATAAACAAATTCTCTCCCTCTCATTGTAATCTCTCTTGATTTCTTTGCGTGCAATACAATACGTAAGTGCATATAGCATGTTTCTTACTTTGGTAATACAAGTTAACAATCAATTTAGCACAAAACAAATACACTAAAAATAAAATAACAGATGGGGCCCGATTAAATATTTTATAATAGCAAGTGGATAATAGCATAGAAAAGAACATGGGCCTACCAATCTACCTGTTAAATGAATTTACACACGGGATTAAATATTTGAAAGTTTTTACCATGGTAACTCACAAAATTACTGCTAACAGTGTCTGGGGAAATGGCAAAGACAGATACACGCAATATATCAGCAGCACATTTGCTTTTCAAGTCTATATGCAGGAACACAAACGTAGACGCGCATATGCCAAAGTTTCCCGCATATCACCAATTTAGGGAAGACATGACAAGTAAAATATACAATCTTGGTGACTCATCTGTAAGAGACATTGAAACATACTTTGAGCGCAAAATTGATGAGTAGTTCACTTAGTTTTAAGTTAACGTTCGCCGGTTGAAAGACTCCACAGTTAGGTTGGCAGTGAAAGCTGGGATTGAATTTAACTTCCGAATAAATATCTCAACCTGCAAAATGATATCTTACATGAGTTGACCAATAAGAGGTCCAGGTAGCCCAGTTCAATACCAGCACCATGTTGATAGATTAAACATAGGCCCTGAAAAACATCCGACCCTTTTGAACCCCATATCGATCCAATGGACAACTCATAATGCTTTAGAGAGCAACGTTTCTTCAGAAATTATTTCCACAAAAGAAATACGACTATAGGGTCACTGCAAACTATTTTATTGTTGCAATGCTAATATATTCATTTTCCAATCTACTGTTAATTCCCCACCTAACCCCCAAAACAAAGGGCGTGAAAGAAAGCAAGAGCACAAATAAAAGAAAAAGGGGAAATCAACAACTACTGTTTAGAACTAAGAGAATCACAGTTCACATTGCCATTTGTCACATCCTGTGAATCATGAACATAAAAGCATTTGAGCTTCCTAATGGAATTCTCAATCTAAAAATCTGGCATAGGCTAGATCATATAAAGCAATGGTCCTACCAATATAGAAGCATATAAAATACTTTTTAAAGGGAAATTTGCACAAAAACCACCTATACTATAACCATTAGGGGTGTGTGCATTTACCACCTAATAATTTTTTTTTCTTTTTCCTATTTCCTTCCCAAACTCTACTTTCAGTGCTAATTACCACCTCCATCCAATTCTGCTGAAAATATCTATTAACTCAACGGCAATTTATTCAATTCCCTTATAATTAAAAAGTCAGAAATAAAATATTTCTAAACTTGTAATAATAAAAAACAATAATTCAGCATCACATCTGGCCTCTCCCTCCCCCATCAGTCACCCATGGTGGCAGTCCATTCCCCACCACCACTAGCTATGGCTTTAGGTTGAAAACCCAGGATCACTCTCCCGTGCCTTTCATTCCACACCCCACCACCTTCCCTCGTTGTTACTCCTCCATGAAAACCCATAACCCCGAAACACATTCTTTTCTAAGAACACATCGCCTCTCACTCTCAACAGTGAAAACAAAGTTACTTTGCGTAGACTATCTTGTGGTATGTTCTTCCTAGAAATGCTTATTTACTTCAGCACTGCAAATTATCCATTATGTGTTAGTTTTTTTTTTAATCCCTGATTAATATTATTTATTTTATAATTAATGTGTTTTTACTCCTTAAAAGTAGTAATGGTTTTATGGGGTCATTTGTATTTATTTCCAAATTTTTTATCTGGTTGGTGAGAAAATGGAGGAGAACAAAAGAATTGGGGACATTTCAATTTGATTTCAGGGATTAACCTCTGTTAAAGGAAATTGGAAAGCATGGAATTTTCTTTTCATTTGGCTTAGTTTGAAAGCGAAGTTGGGATTTAGAGTTCTATTTTATTTGCCTCTTATCAGCATGGAGGCATCTGATAGAAGCAAGGTAACTAAAGTAAGAATGGGTGATGAAAATGTGGTTGAGATGTGTATATATGAAGGAAGAAGAAAGGTCCATGAAAAATGTGGGTGTTTTGTATGGAAGATAAGGCTATTCTTTTTCTTTTTAATTAAAGGGACAAAACTTTGTGAATGGGTGTCCAAAATTTTTTTTTTGGGTGTGTTTAGAACTATTTAATATATATTTGGATGGAATTGGATTCACACTAAAACTGAAGTTTAGGTGATTAATTGTCGAAAAAGAAAGGGTGCCAAACGAACACATCCCTAATATTTCACAAGGTGTCTGTGCAAATTTCCCAGCGGAAAAAAGAAAATACAACTTCTAAGAATTGTAGAAAAACATCATGATCATACCTGATGAGATATCTCAGGATGCGAGGTATAATCATTTGCCTGTTCAATAAAAATAACACAATTAGTAAATTCTGTCCTCTCATTTGTTATGTTACTAACTCAAATACAACAATAAAGGCCAAGTCATAGATGCGGCTGTTGTTCCATTCTCATTGAAATCTGAAGGAGTAAAGTACTATTCAAAATGAGCTCATTCTTGACAGCCTGAGAAAATGAATTTTTATAAAATTCTGTCTTACCAAAATATTTGTGCTCCCTGATTCATATTCAAATTCAAGTTTCTCATCATCACTTTGAGCATATATAGATTGGAGGGTAAAACGTGTAACAGGGATTCCATTGGGACGCTGGTGTTCATCCATTACAATCTGCCAAAATTGGAATAAAAAGATAAGCATTACACATTAAACTTTAGCATCAGAGAAGCTTTTAGCATGTTAACATGAAGACAGTGCATGAAAATGTACTTCTATTAGTTATCTTTTTGAGTGAATCTATGCTCAATTATAAATTCTAGAACAAGCAGTCCACTTGAGGTACAATCATAACCTTTAACAGCCAAATAATTACTAAAACACATCAAAAATACAAAACATAAATATCTCAACTAGCATCCGAATCTGCATAAGAAAAGAAAGATGGTACATCTCTAAACTCTTTTAGATACCAATGCCCACAAAGATAACTAACATACTACGACTCCACAAGACTTTCACCATTCCCTCTACCAAAAGCATAATGTTCCTCATAAATAAAGAAAGACATGAATCCTGGATCCCACAACTCAACCTTACCCCCCATGAAATAGATTATTCCATATTCCCTATGCAATTAAGCAGTGGAGAAGAGTCTCAAGTCGAGACTCAACTTCCTCTTTGCACATGACACAAAACATTGCACCTCCTTAAAATATTATCACAAGTATCAACTATTTAATGAGCAATTATCCAAGCAACACTTGTACTTTACAAAGTAATTCAACCTTCCAAATCATCTCGGATGGTAGAAATTGGAAGAAATGTTTCATCAATCAACTAGTAAGAATAGTAAATCACAAGGATGTACTTGAATTCCAATTTTCAAAGAATGTAATTTGAAAGGATAGGATACTACACTTTTTCAAACATCGATATCAAGGAATAAAGCTCACCAAATTCAAGATGTTAACGTCTATGGAAATTGAAATTCCAACCCAATGGAATCAAAGAGGAAACAATCAAATTAGAAATTGACACAACGTGAGCAGATGACAACCCACAGGGATGCAGGAATAACAATCACAAAGAAAACCCTCTGCTCCACTTATCATCCCAAAATCTGATACTCATTCACCACAGCTAAACGAAGATTATAACCTTGTGACATTTTCTTCTGAACGGCATAAACGTGAACCTCTAACCACCACATTGGAGTTTCATCTACGAGAATGCAGGCCACATTTATCACAGATACATACTGCAAAAACTTCTTCAGAAAATCCAAATTATTTTTGTACCAAATTACACCCCATGCCCTCCTTCTCTCCAGATCTTGACACCATTTCGTATCTTACCTACTACTGGTGCATCTTCTTTTCTGCCTTTCTTAGCTTATAAATCCTTTTAGCTACTTTCTTGGAATACAGGAAAAAAAACCGCATAGTAAGTCAGCAAACAACCTGATCTGATTGCACTAAACTAAGTCAACTATCTAAATGCTCCTTTCCACTCATCTACCATTCTTTCCCACTTTTTCAATAATGAAATCCAATCAATCAATTGCTAAAGGATTTAATCATTTTCCTCACTAGATTGATTAGAGATAGATCCATAGAAAATAAGAACGGTAGAAAAGTATTCTCACCCTTTATCACAGATTTAAAGGGGAAGACGCTACTTCAAATAATCCTTATTAGAAAATATTTTTAAGCTAAATGAGATTATATGGTGTGTTTCCCACTGTAGCTTTCCAGTATAACACAAACACCCACTGTATCATTGTTCTCTTCCTTGATAACCTTGGAGTAGCATATAAATGGCAGACAATATATTATTTTGTGCACAAGAACGAAACATTAACAATGGCCTAGGAATGATATATTTTAGACCAATATTTTTGTGGAATGATATATTTTAGAAAATATTTTAGGCACAAAAATATTGGTCATGATCTCAACTCTCTTATGGTCTCAAAAGAGATAATATTATCCTTTTCTATCAATGTTAATGTAAATAGAAGCCACTTAGTAAATCAAATCAGCATGTCTGATGAACATAAACAAAATCGATTTGCTATATGCTTGAGCCTTAGTGTTAGTAAAAGATAGAAATATGAACTTTTAGCCTCTAATAAAAATTAACCAAAAAACGATCTTGGTTGAACAACACAATGAAATGCCTCAATACATAAGTTTTTTCCTAAGCATTGACATTTAGTACCTTAGGAAAAATATAGAATAAATATACACTTGTGGCATACTAATACCTATGCATCCAATAATTGAAGGTAAGGTATTGTTCTGTGGCTTAAATAAATCAGTTTCACACACTCGCTGGTAGAGATATACGAAGACAAATGCATCTTACACACAATATAAGATTTTTTTCAACTCATACTCCGAAACCAGACATTTGTTTCAAATTGTTTTTAAATTGGGAAATAGGAAACCTTTTACTATCTCTATAAGTACTTCATTAATTTTCATACACCATCTCTACATATTTTGTAATTGCAATTTCTTACTATAATGATTACTGTGTTAACTGGAAAACTAGTCATATGAAAATATAAGGAACAATGAGCAACGCATATTGTATACCTTGTAACCAAAAAGCTCACAGCATGCCCTCCTGAACACTGAAATTCTGTCAGCAAAAACAGTTTTGTACCTGTTTCATGGACATATTCAAATGTTCAACCAAAAGGCAGGCGTTGTAGTTTACATGAAATTGTGAACAAATGATGCATAAGATTATTTTACAAAAAGAAATACATATTGGTCTCCGAAAAGCTTAAGTTAATAGGCAATAATGCAATAACTATATCAAGCATAAGAGACAAACAGTCCCCCACATGGTAGGCCCGCCCAATAACCCAAATCACATCCAATCTTCTTACACTTGAAGGAAAAAAAAATTAACCAAAATGGGGAACTTCAACATTGCAGCACAATATGCTATGCTTTTTTAAAACTTAAGCTAAAGAAAAGGGGGCAACAATGGATATCAAGGTTCATACATATTAACAATATCCATCAGTCACTCACCTTTCCTCGCGTTTTTCAAGAGTTGCAATTTGTTCTTTCAACTGCACTATCTTCTCAGATATGTAGGAATCCACTAATTTACCAGCATCACCTGAATGAAGTAATGGAAATAAACTCATTAAGTAATTGCATGACTAAAACAAATTAAACATCTGACTTTGAAAATTAAAAGAAAACAATATAGAAAGTTTCTAATTACCATGCAAGTTATACCTCAAAGTTCCTAACCATGCGCTTCTTACCTGATTGACTTCTCAGTTCTTCAACAGCCTGTAACTTCTCCTTCGTCTTCTGTAACTCAGTTCGTAATGCCTCTATAGTTTGTTTTGCTTCATTATCAACCGTAAGAGTATTCACCATTCGTAAAACTTTAGTATTTGCAGCAGAGAAATCACCATGACCCAACTGTGGAAGCAAAAGATAATAAAATTACATAATCGCATTGCATGTTGCTGTTTGTAAGAAAAATAAGATAATCCTGATAATTGGGAAATCAATAATGCTCCAAACAATTTTGGCACCCACCTTGGACTCCAACAGAGCAATCTCTGAACCAAGTCGATCGCTCTCCCTCTCCAATGACTTTATTCTTCTAGCTTCATTGTTTAACCTCTCATTAAGCAACTTTATTTCTTCACGTTGACGACTATTAACTTCTTTTTGTTCACATAGACCACATTCCAATTCTTTAATATAGCACTCTTTCTTTGCAAGAGATGATTCAAGCTCCTGCATGTGCAAACCAGGAAACCAACAATGAACTTAAGGAGAAATTCCAGAAATAAGAATAGTACAGAAAAAGGAAATTATATAACCTGAAGAAAAGTTTGATTGGATGTTTCATGTCCCGCTTCATCATTCTTTGCCAACTTAAGTTCATTGACGACATTTCTCAACTTATCTCTTTCCTCAGTAACCATAGAGAGCTGCAATTTACCACAATTTCTTCATCACAAATTATTACAAGATAATAGTATTTTTCTTTCAAACTTCCTTTTGGGACTGATTATATGAAAAGTTTTAGTATCAAAGCTTTCAGAACTGATGGTTATTCTTGAAAAGTTTAGTATCAAAAGGCTTATGTCTGACCTTGCAAGTGGTTAAACACCTGAGAAACATTGATCTTATACTGAATTTTCAACTTACATTCATTAAGTTACAATGCATTTGCTTCATAAGATTGTTAAGCCTCAAAACACGCTCAAATAATAGTTACCTCGCATGCTATAACAATATTGTATAGATTACCAAAATTAAATATCCAAAATCACTCCATGTGAACGGATGCTAAAACAATGTATCCATGAAAATGAGAATGTTAGACAACAGAAAGATGCATGGGCCACACCTGACACCTCTATTTAGAGTCTGATAGATGCATGGTGCAAGAAAGTTTGTATTTTAGGCATAAGCATGAGCATATCAATTTGGTTTATTCTTTTTATTTTTATAATTGAAATATAGGTGTTAATTATTTATTTCTTTTAATGAATAATCATTTAGCGTCTAATTATTACAGTTTCCTATTATATGAGGCTATTTTCCTTCAATAATTCATGAGATGCATGTATAAAAAGGCCTACCATCAATTCAATCCGGTTAACCTCTGATTTTGATGCATCCACCTTCTCCTTGGCCAGGGCAGCCTCAGTTTCAGCATTTTGTTTATCAATTTGTGCAGCATCCAGAGAGACCTCCACTTGTTTCAAGCGGGCATTTGCCAGGCCCACCTTCATCATGCTATCAATTACCTCTCTGCATTAGATGGGAAAATCTCAATCATTGGAAGCTGAAAAAATAAACTTCTTTGATGTTCAGGCTGCGAAAAGCACAACAAATAAATAACAAGTAAAAAAGCTCTTTTGCATAGCGCAGTGGGGGGAGATAAGGTGGGGAAGATAACAGCAGAACTTATAGATAAACTAAAAAGTACAAATAAAGGCTGTAGAAAAACTTGAAACCCTCATTAATACATCAAACATAACTAGAACGAAAGGAATATTTAAAAATAAATAAAACCCTGCGTCCTGAAGCCCCAAAAAGAAATAAAGATATACAAAGTTGACACAGACAGGATCCTTCTGAACCATCTTCGACTGCTTCAAACACGAAATAAATATGCATGGTGTCATAAGGGTGAAAACCAGAATACCAGAAGTCTAGAAATGATTCGAAAATTTCTGGGCACTGAAATTAAGCACATGGTAACAACTAGAATTACTGATGTGGTACCAGATATGCAGAATTAATCACCAAATAAAGAAGTCGCACTATGCACGCCTTATAAATAAATATAAAAATATAAAAAAAGAAGCAACAAGTAAAGTTTCAGTGTTGAAGATTTATGAAATTATTTATTCTTCTAACCGATCCAGGGAAGCTGGCTCAAAATACTGACATGAGGAACTCACATACTTTTGCAAAGCTGCAAATTTAACAGGGATATCCTCAGAACATGATACGCCTGGAATGTCTTTCAGCATCAACTTCCAAGATGTCAATTCATCCTCCAAAGTCTTCATACTTGGCTGCAACTCTTGTAGCTTGGATAACTCTGACTCTACCCTCTCTCTGCGGCTCTTTTCTTCCAACAATTTTTCCTTCAATAACTCAACATTTTCATGAGAAGATTTCAGCTTTCTTGCTTCCCTCACTTCAGCATCCTAGTAAAAATTCATCGAACAAACAATCAGATAGTCATAAGAGGAATGAGTTTCATGAAACAACAAAACGATCAGTAGAACAAAGCATACGTTAAATCTGTATCATGAGATACTTATTTCAGACTCAAAGGTCAAGACCCAAACTACATTGTGCTACATCAGTTTTGTTTCGGAGCAAAAAGTCTACCCTCTTGCAGCAAGGTTCTTCTTTTTATTGGGTGTAATGAGCATGGCCCAGTACTACTAAAATGAACTCAACGTAGGTACAATTGGCCACCAATTAAATGACACGTAGAATTAATAACAGGACAACCAGAAAGAAAAATGATCCTCATATTCCTGTGGCATAGAGCCTGATTTTTGCGCATCCCTTTAGGCATCAGTGTTCAGAGTTTAGGTACAGTTCTTTTCAAGCTATTTTTTTTTTAGGGTTGGAGGGTTCCTGTGCTTATCTTGTTATTCTTGCTGTTTTTATGTAATATGACGATTCTATGAGCAGCACTTAAAATAAAAATAGGGAGGCACTCAAACAATGCAGCATGATCCTTAATATGCATGCCTAAAACAGGATAATAAGTGAAAAATAGAAAATGTATAATTGATAAAAAAGAAAGTAAAGGAGTCTATTATGAAAAACCATGAATATGTACATGTGTGTGTCTTCATGCAGAAAGGCATATAAATCAGGCAAAGTGCACTCTAGCTTTACAAATATTATCCGATAGACAGGAAAGATCAAGATTGTAAACTTACATAGTTTCTTAGTTCTTCTTGCAGATGTTTAACCAAAATATCATCCGTAGATTTAACTTCTTGTAATGTGGAACTTGATAGTTTCTTTTCTACTTCACTCTTCTGTTGCACGCACTGGAAAATAAAGATGAAGCAGCATTTAAAAGATAAAATTGATCAACTCATGGTACTATAAGTTCTTTATATTAAACAAGAAGACAGGTCAATCTTAATGCCAAGCAGAAAACCTTTCATCCTATTGGCATTGCGAAGGGACAGGATATGATGTCTATATGAGAAGATTTTTCACAGAACATATCAACTGGTCTCCAAGAGGCAGAGGCAAATAAGAGATACATACCTCATTAAGTTGCTCCTTAAGATCATCCAGCTGCTCTTGCAGTAGCTCTGATTCTTTCTCAGCATTATGAGCTCTGCATTCCATTCGTTCAAGCTAAACAAGAATGTGGAAGGTTGAATGACTGTTAATATTCATATACAGACTTGACTCAATAAAAACCACCACTTACATCGGCAGTTATTCTAGAAACAGAAAGCTCGGATTCTTTTTTCAGATGGGCAAGATCGTTATGGAGACGCTTTTTTTCCCTCTCCATGCTCTCAGAAAGATGGCTCAGTTTCCCCTTTAAACTATTCGCTTTCTCCTCAGCCAAAGCTGCTGAAGACTCGGCTTTCATGCGAAGGTTCATCTCGTTTTGGAGCTTCACCTGAAATTTCAAATGCGATACGAAGAGCAAGGCAGGGAACAGTTTGGAATTCCAAATCGAAACAGAGAAAAAAAAAATATTCCTAGGAAGAGCAACTGATAGAGAAAGCAAATGAAACATTCTTTTGGGAAAATAGAAGAATAACATTCAACACATTACAGAAGAATTATAAGGTTGGTATATCTTTTAAGTTAAAGCACAAGATTTAAAATGAATAAAGTTAGGAACTTGATTTGGAGGTTTCACTCATGCTATGAGCCTATGAATACTACAATCAAACCACGAACAATTTTCTTTGGGCTTGATGGCATCCACACTTCTGTTGGTATGGGTGATTGTTGAAGTTATAGGCCTAAACTCAATTGTGTATGTGTGTAAACCAACCAAAAATAAATGGACTACAATTACAACTTTACTACAAATAAAACAGAAAGCAAGAGAAGGAGAAAGAAAGAAAGAAAGAAAGAAAATTAGTTTACAATCTCCAACTAATGTGGGATAATAAAAATAACAAATTTGTTTGACCAGCTTTATAGATGTTGCTAATTATATATAAGCATTTAGGCATTGAGGAAATGTTGGGGTAACAAATAGTTATTCTTTCTGATTAATAAATTAGAGGTATCAAATTATCTGAGTTTCATCAGTGGGTATCCCTTAAGCTCATGATGTTTAACACGAGACAAAAGTTTTCGTTCTCCTTAATCACAACATGAAATGGGAAAGGAAGTCAACGCATGATGTGTTTGAACTTTGCTCCTGCATTAATACATCTTTGATAAAGGTTTAAACATATACCTCAAGTTCACTGCACGACTGTAATTGTTTAGTCAATCTTTCATGAGAATCGTGGATCTCCTTCAAAAGCTGCTCCTGCAGAGCCTGTTCACGTCCCTTTGCAGCAGCAAGTTCTTGTTCTGCATATAAGAATTGTTCCAGAAATTTCTTCCTCTCAGATTCTGCAACACAAATAATTAATCAGGGGGCATAAACGTAAAATGGATAATCCAAAGAAAATTTTAACCTAGTTATGCTTGCAAAAAGCAAATGAACCTCGTTATACTTACAATAAAGAAAATGATGACCAAATATATGTTAAAGACTTTGATTTAAATGAAAAGAAAAAATTATCTTGCAGCAGGGTACAGCAGTTGCAAACAAGAAAGAAATTATCTTGCTCCAGTATTGTTTATGATTTTCAGATTTTGTAATTTGGGGTAATATTGAGTTTTAACATAAAGGGCTCACTTCACAACATAAATCTGAGGCAAGTCTCATCTGGTTTTAGGTTCAAGTTACTAGGAATTTAAATTCATTTAAAAGATACAGGCATTTTTATTTGCAGCCCATAAATTAATATTTGTCTAATCCAGCCCATCATCTGGTTTTCTCGAGTCTAAATTTGGTCATACATGACTAAATATTGACTATCCTATTCCCAGTAAGAAAAGAAAAGATTCAAAAGTGTAAATATTCATTACACTCAAAAGAAACAAAACTTTGATAAGGGAATTGAAAAGATTTTGTTGGTTTACCACTACTCACAAATGCTTAAGATGTTAGGATGTGGGTCAACTATTATTTTTATATTCCAACTCTCCTCATGTGTGGATCTCTTCACCACTAGATAGCCCCACAGGTGGAATTCAGCAATTTGGAGGTTGCAATCTCAGTAATTTGAACACAAGATCTCCACTCTGATACCAAGATAAAATTACGTTGATTTCCGTTGTTTCCAAAAATAAACCACCCTTTTTTCCTTCCATTCTTCTTTCAAAGCCTAAGTTGTTTTACAAAGCCTGAACTTCTGTCTCTGCAACCATAGTCCACTACACCACATGTTAATTTTGCTAAATGAAACTCACCACATAAGAAAATTTCTGCTAAGTTATCTGGGTATATCCGATTAAGAAGAATATACCCTGCCCTAGATAAGATGAACCAAAATTCCCTAACTTTGTCATTGTTTGGGAAAAAACAACAATACACAGTTCCCATATCATCGTACTACATCCTTAGATAATCCAATCAAGGAAAGATATAATATTTTAGAATATTTGTGCAACAATAACAGTGTGTTTGGAATGAAAATTTGCAATAACAATTCAGCCTGCAAGAATAAATAGGATTTGTACCAAACAGATTTACAGCATCAAACTGTGAGAACCATAAGTACAAAAACTTTGGGAAAACTGAAGAAATAAAAACGATGGTAAGCAATGTATTGGAACATCTTATTCAAAAACGCACCAACTTTGCAGAAGTTGTTATTTAATGCCTCCAACCTAGATTGATAATCCAAAACTTGCTTCTCCGCATTGCTGAAGGCATCTATAAAATCTGATTTAACCTGTGACAAATGGGGGAAAAGGTTCTTCTTACCCATAAACATACTTTCAAAAGGAATACATACAATGCATAAAGGTCTACAAGCAAAAGAAAAAGAAAACACTGATGATCATGCAAAATCCATATTAGACAACGACCTCCAGGCAAACAATTTGAAGTGTAAATGAGGGCAGACCAACATTATCTTATAAAAACGCATTGGCGATAAAACTAGAGGCAAGAAATTCTAAATGGTCCAATTCAAAATACGATTGTCAACATATACCAGAGTTAGCTGCCAGAATGAAGTCCAGTTATGGAAAAATTCAACGAATGAATTACATCATAATTCATCAACAAACAAACAATGATGATATGACTGATATCTATCTAATGAAGGATTGAATAGGGAAGGTGTGCACAGTCCACAGTCCACCCATCACATAATCGTGAAGAAGAAGGCATTCACTTCGGGGAGAGAACATGCAAAACCCATCAGCCACTTTGATTATCAATGGAATATTAAATTTAGAGAGAGAGAGAGAGAGAGGAACCATTTGACGGCATTGGTAGGTGCATAGCAAGTGGTGGGAGGAGTCGGTGGGTGGAAGGGAAGAAGGAGGAGGGTCGTCCTCGTAGATGACGAGAGGGCCTGGGACAGCAGGCGGTGGGCTCTCCATCTCCGTCGCCCGTTGCTTCTTCGCTGGGGGAGTTCTCACCATCATCTTCTTCAACCTATCCCAAACCTAACCTAACCTAGGCAGCAGCCCTCTCACTCTCTCTCTCTTTCTCTCTCTGTTGTACGAAACAGGAGAACAAAAGAAGCGAAGTGGTGGGTGGGTGTGGCCTAATTTAAACGCAAGGGCGCCATTTTTAAAGGCTTTCCGTCGTCCACCTCCTTTCTCTTTCTCCCCTTTGCAGAGAAAAGAAAATACCCACCAACCCAAATTACAGGGCCACGCAGTTTTTTACAAATATATTTACAAGTTTGTCAAATGAGACTTACCATATTTATATCCCACATTTTTATATGACATGACATGGCATATCCATATTATATATCACATCTCTACTTTCCTGCTATTATAAAGCGAGGCAAAAATAGGCTTCATATAACAAAATTGGACAGAAACACCCGTGAAACAAAAAAAAAAAAAACAATAGCTAAAAAGAACTTTATATTTAGAGTTCGGATGGGTATTTTCGTAATATCATTAGTTTTGTTGATGATGATCATTATATCCATGTATGAATTTATTTGTTTTTATTTACAGTTTATTTTTTATATGATATGTGTATATTAATGAATTCTTGTTTTGTAGGTTAATTTGTCTTTAGATCATCCTATTCCACTAGTTTCTATGATGTGGCATGAACAAAGTGACACATGCAATGTAACAAATTTGTACTTGAGGTACCAAGTGTATATGGATGAGTTTAAATAACTTCTGAGAATGGATAATATAGCTACTACGGATACGGTGATCCTAATGACTGAAGAAAATTTCACCTACAATGGAGTTGAGATTATAAATCTATGACACTTGAAGCTTTCCTAGTCTTGTTGTTTTTGGATAATCCAAATTTGATATTGAAGATGTATCTTTTTTGGAGGAACAACACTGAATGCATCATTATCATTCGGTAGGTAGCTACGGAATGCATCATTATCATTCGGTATGTAGATACTAAAATCTTCAATAAGAACTTAGTAAACATACTGACATTTCTAATACAACCAAAGAACCATGAGTTATAACACAAATATGCAAAAAATCCTCAAAACAACCAAAGTACCATGAGTTCTAATACAAGCATGCTGACAATTCAATTATCCATGATGACGTTGATATGTAATAGTAGACTATATGTTTGTACCCTCTAAAATTCGCTGCAAGCTCTCAATTGCTTGATAAATGTGGGCAGGTCTTGTATGCAATGCATCTGTTTACCCTAATAGCACGATTAGCTTAGTAATGAACAATATACACTCGTCACGCTTCTGTAATGAATATGTATTCAATGCCTTAGTGAAAATAACAACATTGAAGAAGTGAAAGTGAGAACAAATTTATAATTTCACATGATAGTATGAACTTTACATTAAGGAAAATGCGTCAAATGCAACTATACATCTTAAACCTTTGTAGTATCCTCGGAGTGGTCTAGGAGACCATGTTGGGGCTGCTCTTCTTGAGGGGTTAACCTTTCCACTCTATGTCTTCTAGCTGAGGCTGTAAGACAATCTTTATCAAGTATAGATGATGCAACCTCAGTACTACCTTTATGAGTCCTCTTCATATATGAAAAACAATATTAAGTACAAAATCATTAACGAATTCGGTTTACTACCATTGAAAAACTGGAACGAATTCGGTATACTACCATAAAAAAACAGAAATGATTTCGGTGGTATCCCACTGAAAGTTACAACTATTTTTGACAGGACCCGTCCCGAATTTCCCGGAACCCGAGACGAACCCTGCGGAGACCCCGGCATCACACCCACGCCGGGTTCACTCCTTAAATCTATGTCCTCATTTACCATAGAGGGTTAAGGGCACGAGACTTTCTGCCGAAATTTCGGCAGAGTCTCCCCTATAAATTGAACATTCCCCAAAATTTCCACCTGCAAAGAACGCATTTTATAACCCAACCGGCAGCATGCACACCTTTACTTGCTCAGTCCACAGGACGAGTCTCAATTCAACCAAGTTCCAGGACCAACAACAAAGTCCGAACCAATCTCAATAAGACCACCTAAGTGAGGTCTAATCTGTGGCTGCACCTAGTAACTTCAGGCTGCCTACGTACCCTTACTGAGGGATCAAGCCACACGTAGCTCTTTCATATCTATCCT